GGAAGGGACAGAAATCTTTAATTAATAAATAAATAGATAGATAAATAAATAAATAAAATATTAAAAAAAAGATGATCAGAAAAAAAAATTGGCTAGCCAGGCAGCGAGGCACACACCTTTAATCCCAGCACTTGGGAAGCAGAGAGAGGCGGATCTCCAAGTCTGAGACCAGCCTGGTCTACAGAATAAGTTCCAGAGAGACTCTGTCTCGGTGGTGGGGGAAGAATTGGCCAAAGAGAGTGGAAGTGCTTGCCATGAGGACAAAGCAGAGGGCCTATGAACACACCGCGGTGTTACCTTCTATACACATGTGTGTATGTATGAATATATGCATGTATGTATAGATATAAGTACAACCTGATGGTTTTGATCAGTGCTGCCTGTGTGTATGTGGATTCAGGGGTGACTACGTGATGTTGGATAACCAATTATGGGGCCTATTCCTCGAGAAGACTTTTTCTCCGACTTTCTGCATTCCTTATTTGCCTGTAGTTCTTTATCTAGCAATGGGGCCCCGTGAGATTTCCCCTTTCCATATTAGCAAGTCTGTTGGTGCTGTGTTGTTCAGGTCTTGTCTAGGCAGCCATGCTGTTGAGGTATTATGAGTGTAGCTTCCCTGTGGTTTCTGGGAGAAATCGCACAGCAGATTTCCTGGTTCTCTGGCTCTTATGATCTTTTCATCTTTTCACCCTCGTCTCAGTGTTCCCTTAGGTACGGGAGCTGTGTCACAGATGTGACCTGCGGTTGGGCTCCCCACAATCAGCTGTCCTCTCTACACGGTTCCTAACTGTATTCTAAATGCTCTTCCTTATACCTAAGACAGGGGGGGCTCTCACCCCTCGTGAAAGACAGTTTTCCCAGTAACAGACACAGGCCACTTCGGGAAATCACAAATGGTCAAGGAAAGACATTTTAAAACGAGTGTCACTAAAATCATACACATGGCTTTCAGTAACAGAATTGATGAAAGGGGGTGGAAGTGCTTGTGAGTGAGGAGGACAAAGCCAGGGGCCTGTGGGCTAGCGCAGCCCTACCTGAATAAGTACATCTCTGCAGGTCGTGTGCATGCACGGAAACTCCATTACCTAGGCACCAATCAGTTTCTATGGCCCAAGGAAAGTAAAATTTCCTATTATTGATTCCCAGTGTCCATCTGCCAAGTTTCCAGGGGCCCCAGTCTTACTATTCCGGGGTATCTCTAAGTCACAGCAAATCTAAAGTTGCCATGTCCCAAACAGAGCCAAAAACAACCCATTCTCTAAATTCTTATATTTAATAACACAAGACTCTTTGAGAGGAAACAGGCCTGATATGTGACTCAAAACATCAATATTTTATTTCTCATTCATCAATCATTCACTACCTACTGGCGAGAGGTACCTTCCAGGGAGTGTCTCCAGGTCTCCTTCCAGAGCACGGACTGTTAATATTTCATGCACGTGGATGAAGTAGCTGCTTGGACATGCTAGCCCTGCCCAGGCAGCACAGGAAAATGATGCTCTCGCAGGCAGAAAGGGGAGCACACGACAGGCAGCACCCAGCACACTGCTCTGCCGGGGAGTCTGAACCCACACATCATGACACAGCAGCGAGGAAGGTCTACTACAAAGGGAAGCTGAGGCAGGACCCTTAGCACTGCTCCTTTCTGCCCAGTGTCCTCCAACCACCATCATCAATCTCAGGGACCCAACAATCATAGGAACTGAAGATTGACTGGAGCCAGGCAGAGTAAGACATGTTTGTAATCCCAACATTTAGCCTGATCTAAACATCCAGGCCTGGGCTGCCCAATGAAGCTCATCACCAAAAAAGGGAGGGGAGACAGCTCGGTTGGTAACGAACTTGCCAACGCAAATACAAGCACTAAGTTTGATCCCCAGAATCCATGTAAAAGTTGGGCACAGTGTTGTGTGCGTCTAGTTCTAGCACTGATAAGGTGGAAACAGATGGCTCCCCAGGGCGCACTGCCCAGTCCAATGAGAGAATTTCAGGCCGAGTGAGAGATCCTGGTCCCAGATGGACGCCATCTAGGAACAGCACCAAAAGTTGACTTCTGGCTTCTACATGTGCACATAGGTACCCACACACACACACAAACAAACACAAAAGTAAAAGATTATCAGTTATTTCATAATTTCATTATTTGGTAATAAAATCTCATTCACCATAAAGCATTTGTGGAAGACCAACAGTATGTTTTAGATCCAGAAAGATCCCAGGGATTCGTGACACACTAGGAACATATAATCTCCAGGGCAGTAGCCACAACACCTATTATATTCCTTCATATTCCTGCCACTTACTGTCCTGGGAACAAGTTATATACTAATTTTTTTTTAATTTCTCTTTTTTTCTTTTTTTTTTCCCTTTTTTTGTTTGTTTGTTTTTTATTGTTGTTGTTTCGTTTTGTTTTTCTAGACAGGGTTTCTCTATGTAACAGTCTTAGCTGCCCTGGAACTCACTTTGTAGACCAGGCTAGCCTCCAACTCACTGAGATCTCTCTGTCTCTGCCTCTCATGTGCTGGGATTAAAAGTGTGCCACCACTGCCCAGCGCTATATACTGTTTTTAACTTTTCTAAACTAAAATACAAGATAGGGAAATCGCTTTATGAGACTCAGCACAGACTCGGATAACTTAAAAACAATAACTTCCATCCATTAGAGAATGTAATTCAATGAGTTTTGATAGCTCTGTGCACCCCAAAAGCTCCAAATCCCTCCACAATCAAGATATAAGACAGGGCTGGGGGATGGCTCAGTCAAGAAGTGCTTATCATGGAAGCATAAGGACTTAATTTCAGTCCCTAGCTCCCACATAACAACTGGGCACAGCAGCACACATCTGTAATTCCTGTGCTAGGAAGGTGGAGTCAAGAGGATATCCCGAACTTGCAGGCCAGTCAGCCTAGCTGAGTCAGTGAGCTGCAGGCTCAGTGAGAAATACAGTCTCAAAACATAAGGTAAAGAGGATGTGGAAGATGCCTAACAGGTGTCAGTAACAGAGCTTGAAGCTGAGCTACCGACGCCTGCCTGTGAGCACCTGTTATCCTGAGCATTGGCAAATCCTGTCTGCTGAAGATAAAACCATCTTAACTAACCCTGCCCATCTCAGCTCCTGAAAATTTTGCTTAACTCTGAGGCAGAAAAAAAAATCTCCTTAGAAGCAAAGATAAAAAAAAACCACTCGAGTATGATCAATGGTCACAGAGACAAGATTACGACAATGCCTTCCTCTATACAAGCTATGAACTCTTTCTTATGGGGCTAGGCCTCTTTGGGCAATAGCTCAGAGGCTACAGCTGTGGGCTAATTAAAGAGGTTTTTCCTTTTGTCTCTGAGTGCTGAGAGTTTCCTCGTGGGAAGGGGAACCCCCTTCACAAGCACAAGTGACATCATGAAAGCTGCACCCCTGCGGTGCCCACAGGCCATGCAGCCCTGCAGAGTCAGACAGTTGCTCTCAGCGAGTCATCTCCTCTCAGTGAGTCAGTCTCCTCAGGGGGCAGTGGCTTTCTGCTTCTATTATCCTGTTGGGGGGGAGGCCTCATGAACCTTGTAACTCGGAGCTCTCTCAGATGTGAAGTTTGTCTACTCCTCAGTCTGGTGAGCCTCTCGCTGCTTCCTGAAGGGAATGTTTCATCTCAGAGAAAATTACTATGCAACACTTTTTTTTATTATTATTTCTTTTGGCTTTGGTTTTTGTGTGTATGTGTGTTTATTGGTGTGGAGGTATCAGATTCTCTGGAACTGGAGTTACAGACAGTTGTGAGCTGCCATGTGGGTGCCGGGAATTGAACCCAGGTCCTCTGGAAGAGCAGCCAGTGCTTTTAACCACTGAGCCATTTCATCAGCCCCTATTTCTTTTGCTTTTAAGATTTTACTATAACTACATCATTCCTCTCCTTCCCTTTCCTCCCTCCAAACACTTCCACATCTCCTTGCTCTTTCGAATTAATGGTCTCTTTTTCTTTAATTGTCACTATATGTATATATGTATATACATACATATTTCTAAATATACCTCCTCAGTCTGTACAATGTTATTTTACGTGTGTTTTCAGGGTTGACTATATGGTATTGAATAGCCAGTTTGTGTGTTCCTCCCTGGAGAGGACCAATTCTCCCACTCTCGGCATTTCTCAGTTCTTTGTGCAGACGTGAGACCTGGTGACCTTGCCATCATTCACTGTGACCTGTCTATTGTTGTTGTGCTGGTTCAGGTCATGTTTAGGCAGCCATGTTAGTGAGACTCAGGTGATAAGCTGCCCACTTCTGGACTCTGTGGGCACCAGGAACACATGTAGCGCTTGAAAACCCATACAGGCAAACACTCACACATATAAAATAGTTTGGGTTTTGTTGTTCTGCTTTGTTTTTTATTGTTGTTGGTTGTTTGTCTTTTCCAAGTCCGGGTCTCACTACGTAACTCTGGCTGTCCTGAAGTTCACTATGTAGATCAAGTTGGCCTCAAACTCACAGAGATCTGTCTGCCTCCCACGGCTGGAATTAAAGGCATGCACTAGGTGCCATAAAATAAAATTTAAATAATTTTTAAACAATGTTGATCCCAAAGATGGGAGCCAAATCATTATGGCCAAATTAATTAAAGCAAACAATTAATTAATTAAAGCAAACTTTTTTATTTGTGTACATGGGCTGCCTCCCCCTCAGGCAGAGTTCGAGAGGTTAGCATTGGATGTGAGAGAGACAAGGCTTTTATAGTTCTGGGGCAGGGGGTTTCCAGATGGGGGATTTGGTGGTCAAAATAGGCAGGGTTACAGGAGCAGAGCATAAGTTTAACAAGTTAGCGCTAATGACCTCCTGAAACAGACATGGTTGTAAGGCAGGCATAACAAGGGAGTTATAGCAACAAGTAGGCATAACAAGGTAGCTGTATAACCTTTTGAAACAAAGGTAGGATTGCAACATGTTTATAAACAATTTTTTTGAAATAAAGACATGATTTCCATCCCTGGAACAGGTAATACAAAACAATTTGTAGGTCGTCGCCATTCTCCGAACTTCATCACGCCGCCCAAGGATGACAAGAAGAAGAAAGATGCCGGAAAGTCGGCCAAAAAAGACAAAGACCCAGTAAATAAGTCCGGTGGCAAGGCCAAAAAGAAGAAGTGGTCCAAAGGCAAAGTTCGGGACAAGCTCAACAATCTAGTCCTGTTTGACAAGGCTACATACGACAAACTCTGTAAGGAAGTGCCCAACTATAAACTTATTACTCCAGCCGTGGTCTCTGAGAGACTGAAGATTCGTGGTTCCTTGGCCAGGGCAGCTCTTCAGGAGCTCCTTAGTAAAGGGCTTATCAAGCTGGTTTCAAAGCACAGAGCCCAAGTAATTTACACCAGAAACACAAAGGGTGGAGATGCCCCAGCTGCTGGTGAAGATGCTTGAACAGGTTCAATCAGCTGTACATTTGGAAAAATAAAACTTTATTAAATCAAAAAAAAAAAACAATTTGTAGTTAAGGTTACAGATGGAGCATAGCCCAATCCTTGAAAAAAAAAAAAGTGGTTTGATCATAAAAAGGAATGAACCTAGTTTGTCTTTTCTATAAAATGGCTTGTCTTGTATGTCCCTGTCAAATCCTTGATAGGTTCTTAGCATTCTTTCTCAGAGGGAAACAAAACTTGTTGTGCATCAAAAGATACATTGCTCATTCATAAATTATACCCAGTTATTTAGCATAAACAGAACAAATATTTGAAGATCATATAATCTTAGTATGCTAATGGCTACTATAGATAGGCATTTCATCTCCTTTGCCAGGAAGTTTCTTTGGACCTAAGATTCCAGCCATTTGTTGAGAACAAGCAGGAACACATTCTCCTCTGTAACTACTTCCTGTTGAAGTTAGGGCACCATGGTCAGGGCCCAGGAAGGTTGGAATATTATCCAAGTTCCAGAAGGTGATGAAGGCAATGGTGCATTCATGGGAGGCACCTGGTTTGCTGACTCAGCTAAAGAGTCAGGAAGCAATCTCATCTTGGTTTATTTACATCAGCTTTCAGCAAGTCCAGGCTTTCAGGCTCTGTAGGACTACAGAGGGCTGGCATGGTATAGATCACCTTTGGAACAGTTTGTAGTCCACAGCTGACTTCTGGTTGGTGTCTACTAGTTGAGTGGAACTCTAACAAGACAGATACAGACTAGGGTTTTCATACGTGAAATGCATTGACCAGGCAGCTGTTACTTAATCGATGAAGCTACAGTTAGCACTCAACACCATCAGAGGCCTAAGAAGGACAGATTATAGCAGGACATATGATCCAAATGGCCTCTGCATCAATAAAATGACAGTTGCCCTAGGAGCCTATGGTCTCAATGGCTTCATTGACCTTGGGCTGCCAGACACAAGTCTGAGAGATTTCCTTGTAGGGGAGGAACCTGGGGGGACTGTCCTTACCGTGATGGGGCAAAGTAGAGCAATCAACCCAACAGTGTCCACAGTTTGTGCAGAGTCCTGGAAGCAGGTGAAGCATGGGACAGTTCTGCCCAGTGGTTAGCATTACCACAATCCAGGTGGAGCTATCATGCCCATCTGTCTTCTTTGGAGATCTTAGAGCTGCAGCCAGGAGTTGGAACCTCTGTCTGCCATAGTAAGTGTTCTTCATTAAACATTTTAAAAAGCCATATTCCGCAGATCTCTAAAAGTTTTGAGGGTTGTCTATTAAGTATACCTGATTTTAAATAAACTTTACTTATGTTCAGTTACTTATTCTAGGTTTTACCTTGAAAACATATACAGGAGGCTAAATAAAGCTTGTTCCTGTAAAATAAAATACATTTATAGAGAATTTGATCATTTATAAAGTGATTATTAATCTGAATGTTGTTGACAGATGTTTTTTTGTCCCACCTGGTCCTGCGGCCATTCAGTCCCAAAGAAACACATAGAGGTCTACATTAATTATAAACTGGCTGGCCTATTAGCTCAGGCTTCTTATTAACTAATTCTTACAACTTAAATTAGCCCAATAATTCTTGGCTGTGTTAGCCATGTGGCTTGGTACCTTTTATCAGCAAGGCTTTCTCATCTTGCTTCCTCTGTGTCTGGATGACAACTGCAGACTGAATCTTCCCTCTTCCCAGAATCCTCCTGTTCTCGTCATCTTGTCTAAACTTCCTGCCTAGCTACTGGCCAATCATCATTTTATTAAAATAATACAAGTGACAGGGTACAAGGCCATTGTCTCACAGAAGAATGTCTTTTTCTATTCTTTGGGAATTTTACATCATGTGGCTCAATCCCACTCATTTCCCAGTCCTTCCATATCTGCCCTCTGCCCTTATAGCCTCTCTCCAGAAAGTATAAAAAACAGATAAACCTTCTCACCAACCCCTCTGGGCAATGACCTACTCCTCTGTCAATTGCTGCCTTCTCTCACACCAATCAGAGTTGTTGAGTCTCTGATTCACTATAACACTCCACCCCTCCATCTTTGCTGCCTCTCCATCCCATGCTCGTTCATCATAGTGGCATTGGAAGCTGCAGTGTGTCACACAGTGGACTTCTGTCCAAACAGTTTTACTTGCAAATATTCATTACAATGAGTTAGGAGGCCTTAGGAACCATGGGAGATGAATCAAAGGGCCATACTGAGTCAGCTCCACACTTTGCTAGCCCTGGGAAAGCTAGCCTTGCCTCTCACTGGACACTACAGCAAGGGAACTGGCCCCTGCACTCTGGAGAGACGGCCCCCACCCCTAACCACAAGCAAGGTTGAACGACCCTGAGGGCATGCCTGTAGGTGAGCTGACTCCACCCTGTCACCCAAGGCATGTGGTCCCAGTGGCTGGACTGACCAGCTTGGCTACCACCCAAGACACAACTGGACCTTGGGTTGACCCACCCTAGCATCTACCCCATCTAGGACCTGCTGGAGGACCAGGGACTCAGAATGGCCTTTGACAGCTGCCCAGTCCAGACATCACCATGGCCCTGAGTGACAAGCAGACCTCCAACCTCAGTCTACTTCTTACCACCTTCATTTCTTCCTTTCGGTGTCTCTCCATAGTGCATGAAGCATTCTGTTTTTCTATCTTTCCCATTTCTCCACACATATCTCTTAACTGTAAGAAGGCCCACATGCCTGAGGTGCCAGGCATGCCCATGACCATCTTCCCATGAGCCAGGGCCTTGAGGATCCCTGCCAGTTGAACCGTGTCTGAATGGATAGGCCTAGACATTCATTCTTAAGTCAGTCTCTTTAGCCTGAATAGACCTTAGGTAAGGAGAAACATTCCATAGACTCGGTCAGACTGCTTAGGTCATTTCCTTCTGCATCATAAGCTATCCCAGTTTCTGTGGGATATTAGTAGTTGTGGCCCAAATTTTAGTTGGCCAACAACTACACTGAGTGTTTGGGATTCCAGTGAAGCATTGAGCCTTTCTCAGAGTGCACCTTAAAGTATAAAAAAAAAAAAAAAAAAAAAAAAAAAAAAAAAAA